TTTTTTTCTGTTTTTGAACACTCTTTGGGACCTTTTCTGTGAGATGATCTGTAATGTTTCATGTTTGCTTTTTTTTGTTTTACATTTTTGACTGTCTCTGAATCTGAATCTGTTTGTGATTTATGAGGCTGTGTTCTGAATAAACGGGAATCATGGATTCACACCCATCTGGAGAGCCTTCATTACATGGAGATATTAAGGTGGGTATTTAATTTAGCCTTATGTCAGTTTGAACTTGTTTGCACTGCACTCGAACGCCTCAACATGACAATGCAGCAGCTTGCATATGGCGGATAGCAGCCGGTGCATTTTAATCCTCTTAATTGTCTCCTTAATTCTCATATTTTTCGTGGTACGGTCTTTAATTAGGCTCATTTCAGTTAAGTGTTGAATTACATCGCATTGCTACTGTTTTCTATGATTTTAAATTTCTATCAGTTGCAACAGAAACCAATTTCATTCATGATATGCTTTCAGTAGTCAAGATTGTTACAATATATATGTAAAAAGTAACTTTTTCCTTAAAGAGCTGGACCTCAGTAACAATGACCCACTGGATTCAGGAGTGGAGCATATCTCTACTTGACTGAAGACATGACACTGTAATGTGGAGTGGCAGGTGCAATACCCGCCTTCATCACCAGAGGTCAGTCTCACCTGAGTATTGACTTGCTCCCTAATGGCACCTTGACCTAACTCACCTGCAGCTCATTAAACGCTGTTTATGAAGACTTTCATTCACAGTGGATCTCTGAGAAGTATTGCCAGTTCATATGTGTAGCAACCTTTGTTTGATCTCATCTCTTGGATTTATTTGGTTTGCCTAGACCTGTTTCTGGACTTTTTTTTTTCTGTTTTTGAACACTCTTTGGGACCTTTTCTGTGAGATGATCTGTAATGTTTCATGTTTGCTATTTTACATTTTTGACTGTCTCTGAATCTGTTTGTGATTTATGAGGCTGTGTTCTGAATAAACGGGAATCATGGATTCACACCCATCTGGAGAGCCTTCATTACATGGAGATATTAAGGTGGGTATTTAATTTAGCCTTATGTCAGTTTGAACTTGTTTGCACTGCACTCGAACGCCTCAACATGACAATGCAGCAGCTTGCATATGGCGGATAGCAGCCGGTGCATTTTAATCCGCTTAATTGTCTCCTTAATTCTCATATTTTTCGTGGTACGGTCTTTAATTAGGCTCATTTCAGTTAAGTGTTGAATTACATCGCATTGCTACTGTTTTCTATGATTTTAAATTTCTATCAGTTGCAACAGAAACCAATTTCATTCATGATATGCTTTCAGTAGTCAAGATTGTTACAATATATATGTAAAAAGTAACTTTTTCCTTAAAGAGCTGGACCTCAGTAACAATGACCCACTGGATTCAGGAGTGGAGCATATCTCTACTTGACTGAAGACATGACACTGTAATGTGGAGTGGCAGGTGCAATACCCGCCTTCATCACCAGAGGTCAGTCTCACCTGATTATTGACTTGCTCCCTAATGGCACCTTGACCTAACTCACCTGCAGCTCATTAAACGCTGTTTATGAAGACTTTCATTCACAGTGGATCTCTGAGAAGTATTGCCAGTTCATATGTGTAGCAACCTTTGTTTGATCTCATCTCTTGGATTTATTTGGTTCGCCTAGACCCGTTTCTGGACTTTTTTTTTCTGTTTTTGAACACTCTTTGGGACCTTTTCTGTGAGATGATCTGTAATGTTTCATGTTTGCTTTGTTTTACATTTTTGACTGTCTCTGAATCTGAATCTGTTTGTGATTTATGAGGCTGTGTTCTGAATAAACGGGAATCATGGATTCACACCCATCTGGAGAGCCTTCATTACATGGAGATATTAAGGTGGGTATTTAATTTAGCCTTATGTCAGTTTGAACTTGTTTGCACTGCACTCGAACGCCTCAACATGACAATGCAGCAGCTTGCATATGGCGGATAGCAGCCGGTGCATTTTAATCCTCTTAATTGTCTCCTTAATTCTCATATTTTTCGTGGTACGGTCTTTAATTAGGCTCATTTCAGTTAAGTGTTGAATTACATCGCATTGCTACTGTTTTCTATGATTTTAAATTTCTATCAGTTGCAACAGAAACCAATTTCATTCATGATATGCTTTCAGTAGTCAAGATTGTTACAATATATATGTAAAAAGTAACTTTGTAACTCATTCCTTAAAGAGCTGGACCTCAGTAACAATGACCCACTGGATTCAGGAGTGGAGCATATCTCTACTTGACTGAAGACATGACACTGTAATGTGGAGTGGCAGGTGCAATACCCGCCTTCATCACCAGAGGTCAGTCTCACCTGAGTATTGACTTGCTCCCTAATGGCACCTTGACCTAACTCACCTGCAGCTCATTAAACGCTGTTTATGAAGACTTTCATTCACAGTGGATCTCTGAGAAGTATTGCCAGTTCAAATGTGTAGCAACCTTTCTCATCTCTTGGATTTATTTGGTTTGCCTAGACCCGTTTCTGGACTTTTTTTTTCTGTTTTTGAACAGAAACCAATTTCATTCATGATATGCTTTCAGTAGTCAAGATTTTTACAATATATATGTAAAAAGTAACTTTGTAACTCATTCCTTAAAGAGCTGGACCTCAGTAACAATGACCCACTGGATTCAGGAGTGGAGCATATCTCTACTTGACTGAAGACATGACACTGTAATGTGGAGTGGCAGGTGCAATACCCGCCTTCATCACCAGAGGTCAGTCTCACCTGAGTATTGACTTGCTCCCTAATGGCACCTTGACCTAACTCACCTGCAGCTCATTAAACGCTGTTTATGAAGACTTTCATTCACAGTGGATCTCTGAGAAGTATTGCCGGTTCATATGTGTAGCAACCTTTGTTTGATCTCATCTCTTGGATTTATTTGGTTTGCCTAGACCCGTTTCTGGACTTTTTTTTTCTGTTTTTGAACACTCTTTGGGACCTTTTCTGTGAGATGATCTGTAATGTTTCATGTTTGCTTTTTTTTGTTTTACATTTTTGACTGTCTCTGAATCTGAATCTGTTTGTGATTTATGAGGCTGTGTTCTGAATAAACGGGAATCATGGATTCACACCCATCTGGAGAGCCTTCATTACATGGAGATATTAAGGTGGGTATTTAATTTAGCCTTATGTCAGTTTGAACTTGTTTGCACTGCACTCGAACGCCTCAACATGACAATGCAGCAGCTTGCATATGGCGGATAGCAGCCGGTGCATTTTAATCCGCTTAATTGTCTCCTTAATTCTCATATTTTTCGTGGTACGGTCTTTAATTAGGCTCATTTCAGTTAAGTGTTGAATTACATCGCATTGCTACTGTTTTCTATGATTTTAAATTTCTATCAGTTGCAACAGAAACCAATTTCATTCATGATATGCTTTCAGTAGTCAAGATTGTTACAATATATATGTAAAAAGTAACTTTTTCCTTAAAGAGCTGGACCTCAGTAACAATGACCCACTGGATTCAGGAGTGGAGCATATCTCTACTTGACTGAAGACATGACACTGTAATGTGGAGTGGCAGGTGCAATACCCGCCTTCATCACCAGAGGTCAGTCTCACCTGAGTATTGACTTGCTCCCTAATGGCACCTTGACCTAACTCACCTGCAGCTCATTAAACGCTGTTTATGAGGACTTTCATTCACAGTGGATCTCTGAGAAGTATTGCCAGTTCAAATGTGTAGCAACCTTTCTCATCTCTTGGATTTATTTGGTTTGCCTAGACCCGTTTCTGGACTTTTTTTTCTGTTTTTGAACAGAAACCAATTTCATTCATGATATGCTTTCAGTAGTCAAGATTTTTACAATATATATGTAAAAAGTAACTTTGTAACTCATTCCTTAAAGTAATGAACCTCAGTAACAATGACCCACTGGATTCAGGAGTGGAGCATATCTCTACTTGACTGAAGACATGACACTGTAATGTGGAGTGGCAGGTGCAATACCCGCCTTCATCACCAGAGGTCAGTCTCACCTGAGTATTGACTTGCTCCCTAATGGCACCTTGACCTAACTCACCTGCAGCTCATTAAACGCTGTTTATGAGGACTTTCATTCACAGTGGATCTCTGAGAAGTATTGCCAGTTCAAATGTGTAGCAACCTTTCTCATCTCTTGGATTTATTTGGTTTGCCTAGACCCGTTTCTGGACTTTTTTTTTCTGTTTTTGAACACTCTTTGGGACCTTTTCTGTGAGATGATCTGTAATGTTTCATGTTTGCTTTTTTTTGTTTTACATTTTTGACTGTCTCTGAATCTGAATCTGTTTGTGATTTATGAGGCTGTGTTCTGAATAAACGGGAATCATGGATTCACACCCATCTGGAGAGCCTTCATTACATGGAGATATTAAGGTGGGTATTTAATTTAGCCTTATGTCAGTTTGAACTTGTTTGCACTGCACTCGAACGCCTCAACATGACAATGCAGCAGCTTGCATATGGCGGATAGCAGCCGGTGCATTTTAATCCGCTTAATTGTCTCCTTAATTCTCATATTTTTCGTGGTACGGTCTTTAATTAGGCTCATTTCAGTTAAGTGTTGAATTACATCGCATTGCTACTGTTTTCTATGATTTTAAATTTCTATCAGTTGCAACAGAAACCAATTTCATTCATGATATGCTTTCAGTAGTCAAGATTGTTACAATATATATGTAAAAAGTAACTTTGTAACTCATTCCTTAAAGTAATGATCCTCAGTAACAATGACCCACTGGATTCAGGAGTGGAGCATATCTCTACTTGACTGAAGACATGACACTGTAATGTGGAGTGGCAGGTGCAATACCCGCCTTCATCACCAGAGGTCAGTCTCACCTGAGTATTGACTTGCTCCCTAATGGCACCTTGACCTAACTCACCTGCAGCTCATTAAACGCTGTTTATGAGGACTTTCATTCACAGTGGATCTCTGAGAAGTATTGCCAGTTCAAATGTGTAGCAACCTTTCTCATCTCTTGGATTTATTTGGTTTGCCTAGACCCGTTTCTGGACTTTTTTTTTCTGTTTTTGAACACTCTTTGGGACCTTTTCTGTGAGATGATCTGTAATGTTTCATGTTTGCTTTTTTTTTTTTATTTTACATTTTTGACTGTCTCTGAATCTGTTTGTGATTTATGAGGCTGTGTTCTGAATAAACGGGAATCATGGATTCACACCCATCTGGAGAGCCTTCATTACATGGAGATATTAAGGTGGGTATTTAATTTAGCCTTATGTCAGTTTGAACTTGTTTGCACTGCACTTGAACGCCTCAACATGACAATGCAGCAGCTTGCATATGGCGGATAGCAGCCGGTGCATTTTAATCCGCTTAATTTTCTGTTTTTTTGTGGTGACGTCTTTAATTTTGCAGAAATTCAGTTGGAACGTATTTCAAGTGCAATCGAATCCATCCCTATTACAAAGAAGGCGCTTACATGTATTGTGTTACCCCAGCTGGCTTTTAATCTACTTATTTTTCGTTTTGATCATCAATGTTTTTAATTTAGTCTTCTTTCAGTTCAAACTTATTTGCACTGCAATCGAATGCCTCACACTGACAATGCAGCAGCTTGCATATGGCGGATAGCGGCAGGTGCATTTTATTCCGCTTAATTTTCTTATTTTTTTGTGGTCACGTCTAATTTTGCTGAAATGCAGTTGGGACGTCTTTCTAGTGCAATAGAATGTGTAACGATCACAAAGAAGGTGCTTCCTTATGGCGCTTAGCGGCCCGTTCATTTTAATCCACTTAATTTTCTTGTTTTTTTTTGTGGTGACGTCTTTGATTTGGCTGAAATACAGTTGGAACTTTTCCACCGCAGTCGAACGTGTCACAGGGACAACGCATGCGTTTGCATATGGCGGATAGCGGCAGGTGCATTCTAATCCATTTAATTTTCTTATTTTTTTGTGGTGACGTCTAATTTGCCTGAAATGCAGTTGGAACTTCTTTCTAGTGCAATCGACTGCGTCCCAATTACAAATAAGGTGCTTACATGTATTGGGTTGCCCCAGCTGGCTTGTCATCGTTGTAATGTCTTTAATTTAGTCTTATTTCAGTTCGACCGTCTTTCCACCGCAATCGAACGCATCACAAAGACAACGCAGGCGCTTGCATATGGCGGCAGATGGATTTTAATCCGCTTAATTGTCTTTTTTTTATGGTGACGTCTTTAATTTAGCTGAAATTCAGTGGGAACGTCTTTCTAGTGCAATCGAAGGCATCCCAATTACAAAGAAGGTGGTTACATGTATTGGGTTGCCCCAGCGGGCTTTTAATCGCCTTGTTTTGATCGTTGTAATGTCTTTAATTTAGTCTTATTTCAGTTCGAACTAATTTCCACCGCAATCGAACGCGTCGCATGGACAACGCAGGCGCTTGCATATGGCCGATAGCGGAAGGTGGATTTTTCATCCGCTTCATTTTCTTGTTCTCTGTGGTGACGTCTTTATTTTGGCTGAAATTCAGTTTGAACATCTTTCTACTGCGATCGAATGCATCACAATGACAAAGAATGCGCTTGCATATGGCGGATAGCGGCAGGTTCATTTTAACCCACTTAATTTTCTTGTTCTTTGTGGTCACGTCTTTAATTTGGCTGAAATTCAATAGGATCGTCTTTCTACTGCGATCGAATGCGTCACAATTGCAAAGAACGCGCTTTCATATGGCGGCAGGTCGATTTTTAATCCGCTTAATTTTCTTGTTCTTTGTGGTCACGTCTTTAATTTGGCTGAAATTCAGTTGGAACTTCTTTCTACTGCTATCAACTGCGTCCCAATTACAAATGAGGTGCTTACATGTATTGGGTTGCCCCAGCTGGCTTGTATTCTCCTAATTTTTTGTTTCGATCGTTGTATTGTCTTTAATGTAGTCTTATTTCAGTTCGAACCTCTTTCCACCGCAATCGAACGCGTGACAAGGACAACGCAGGCGCGTGCATGTGGCGGATAGCGGCAGGTTGATTTTTAATCCGCTTAATTTTCTTGTTTTTTTTTATGGTGACGTCTTTAATTTGGCTGAAATTCAGTTGGAACGTCTTTCCACCGCAATCGAACGCCTCACAATAATACCACAGGCTTTTGCATATGGCGGATAGCAGCACGTGGATTTTTCATCCGCATAATTTTCTTGTTTTTTATGGTGACGTCTTTAATTTGGCTGAAATTCAGTTGGAAATTCTTTCTAGTGCAATTGAATGTGTAACAATAACAAAAAGGGCTTGCATATGGCGGCTAGCGGCAGGTGGATTTTAATCCGATTAATTTTCTTGTTTTTTTTATGGTGACGTCTTTAATTTGGCCGAAATTCAGTTGTAATTTCTTTCGAGTGCAATCGAATGCGTCACAATTACAACAAAGTTGCTTACATGTATTGGGTTGCCCCAGCTGGCTTTTATTCTCCTCATTTATTGTTTTGATCGTTGTAATGTCTCTAATTTAGTCTTATTTCAGGTGGAACTTCTTTCCGCCGCAATCGAACACGTGACAAAGACGAAGCAGGCGCTTGGATATGGCGGATAGCGGCGGGTTGATTTTTAATCCGCTTAATTTTCTTTCTTTTTTTATGGTGACGTCTTTCATTTAGCTGAAATTCAGCTGGAATGTCTTTCTAGTGCAATCGACTGCGTCCCAATTACAAATAAGGTGCTTACATGTATTGGGTTGCCCCAGCTGGCTTGTCATCGTTGTAATGTCTTTAATTTAGTCTTATTTCAGTTCGACCGTCTTTCCACCGCAATCGAACGCGTCACAAAAACAAAGAAGGCGCTTGCATATGGCGGCCCGTGGATTTTAACCCGCTTAATTTTTTTTTTTGTGTTGACGTCTTTAATTTGGCTGAAATTCAGCTCGAATTTCTTTCCACCCAATCGAACGCGTCTCAATGACAATGCAGGCGCTTGCATATGGCGGATAGCGGCAGGTTGATTTTAATCCGCTTAATTTTCTTTTTTTTTTTGTGGTGACGTCTTTAATTTGGCTTAAATTCAGTTGGAACGTCTTTCAGTTGCAAGCGAATGCGTCACAATTACAAAGAAAGGGCTTGCGTATGGCAGATATCATTTACTGTGTCTTGGAGAGATGGATGTATTTACACTCGTATAACATATGGCTAAAATTTGTCTCAAACTAAGAATGTGACGAATGTACCCTTTTGATCCCGACTTGATTTTAAACTCATAATGACCCAACAAAACTATAGACCTGCTTCACTGAAGAAAATGTGCAGTTTACCACATAATAAAAGAGCAATTTAAAATTAAGTTTACATCAATGACATTTTTGTTCTGGAACTTTTTGATCTTTGGTAAGAGTTTGTCGCTCACCACAACAGCAAATCCACATATAGCAAGTATCTGCTGATATGTTATACTGTCAACCATTAGTGACTTATTATTTTGTCAAATGAACATGTGTGGTTTTAATGATGCAGGCTAGATTCTTTTATGAGGTAAAAAACCTATCGAGCAGATAGGTAAATGTGGTTGTGCCACACAGTAATTTTTACCCTCCTGCTTTTCCCTCATTTCCCTTATGACTGCCAAAAGCACATAGGTATGTCTGGTTGGAAACCTAAGAGGTGAAATGCAGTCTTTGTCACCACAAGATAAAGCTCAAAGTCAGCGACTGCTCGGACTGCTATGAAAGGTAAGTCACGTTACGCTTTTCTAATGTAAGTTAACGCAACAGAATTTAAGTTAACCTAAGTTCACTAACATAAGTTATTTAGTTGGCAGAAGAAAAAAATATAGTTTAACAAAATCCACTACAGAAAGTAAATATTATCTGAAATAGATTTTGTATTTGTTTGTTATTGGTTATTTTGATCAAATAACTTTATTCAGTTTATGCTTTGAAATGCATTTCAAGGTGTGAAACATCCAATTAGGGTTTGGCAATATAAAAGTATTTACTGTAATAAATTGTCACTATGTCAAAGTATGCTTTTCTGATCATACATGGATATTGCAGTATTTTAAGATATTCTCCAGCTGCATGCTGAGTACAAAGAGAGCAACATTAGTCCCGTTTAATTGGATTTAGTGCAGCACAGTGTGAAATGTTCAATAAAAATAATTGGAATAGTGTTTAATTTTTAAATTGTGAACCTACACTGTCTGTTCCAACTTATCAGATGTCAGAAATCATAAACTTCTTGAAGTGTTGTGGTAGTATGTTTTTGCCATAGCACCCACTTCTATAATGAATAGTAATTTAGTGTTGGAATTGAACATGACTATCCTAAATACCTTTTACCTTAAATACACCTTGGACATAAATATAATTCTTATCCATGCAGGAGGTGTCAATGGTCTATCCACAGGGGACGACAAGTAAAGAGATCCGTCAGGCACGACTCTGTGTCTGTCATTCCAAAGTGTATCTCTTCAAATGGATGGAATTTGTGTACAGGTGAAAGCAGCTTACACATACAGGTTTACAAGGTCTTAGCAACAGCATTCTATTGCTGCATATTACAGGTGTGGGCGGGGTGGCCATTTGAACTTGAACTTTGCACTTGAGTATGATATTACCAAATACTCAATATTAATCTTGTTCAGAATGTACAAAGACTGTTTCTGCACTGCAAAAATATGGTTACAGTGCAACCTATAAAGGTACTTCATGTGCTAATGAGCAAGTTTACTTATGTTTAACTGAAATATCTTTGTTTAAAATGAAGCGAAGCAAAGCAAACATTTCAGGTGACCAAAAGCATTTCAAACATCTTTGCCCAGTTCCATTTTTGGTATCCATACACTGCATGAAATGCTGCACTTTACAACTTAAATTCATACAATCAGAGTCTAAAGTTTTCTATCATTATGTGCCTACAGGGTTTCTCAAGATCTGCGTTTACACCAAATCGACATGATTGCTGATGAAATAGCAGGGAGTTCAGCAACTTTGTCAAAAATGGCCAAAAAGGTGAGAGAGGCTTGTGATGTCAATGGAGAACTCAGAAGAAGGAAAGGACAGCACATTGGAGGACGCTGGCAGCTCATTGTTAGACGAGAGTCACGTCAGGCATAAAATCACTCCGTCACTTAATTTTGATCTACATATCAAGTTCCTCACTAAGACTGCATTTACGTAACATTGCTCGTCTTCGCCCGTTCCTGACCAGTAATGATGCAAAAACTTTGGTTCATGCCTTCGTTATGTCCCATACTGATTACTGTAACTCCCTCTTTGTTGGTCTCCCTGTAAAGTCTATACAAAAGCTACAGTACATTCAGAACTCTGCAGCTAGAGTTCTAACCCATACTAAGCGTTCAGCTCACATCACCCCCATTCTCTTTCAGCTACACTGGCTACCGGTCCCTTCCCGTATAAAGTTTAAAATTTTACTACTCACTTTCAAAGCCCTGCAGAACCTGCTCCCCCCTACCTCAGAGAACTGCTGACCTCTTATACTCCCTCTTGCTCTCTCAGGTCTTCTTGTAATAACTTACTTGCCACGCACCAGACTTTCCACTTTGGGAGGGAGGTCCTTCAGTGCCACAGCCCCCAAACTCCGGAATTCTCTTCCTCAATCCCTCTGGGACTGCTCTTCTTTCTCCTCCTTCAAATCTGACTTAAAGACTTTTCACTTTCATGAGCATTTTTCTTCCTCCTCCACTGCTTAGTGTTTTGTTTGTTTGTTTGCCCATGCTATGTGAAGCGACCATGGGCTTGTGAAAGGCGCTATATAAATGTAAATTATTATTATTGTTTTATTATTCTTATTATTGTTTTATTTTTATTATTATTATTATTATTATTATTATTATTATTATTATAATAAAAGAAAGGCAGGTGTATTAATGAGGATAGCGTTTGGTATAGTCTTGATCTTGAATGGACATACATTTCTTAATTTCTATTGCTATTAATCTTAACCATTTTTGGCAATGCGTCTTATGTGACAGGTGGTAACACTACTGAAAGGCTGTTTAAGGCTGAGGTGACATCCTACACAAGTCTCTCATGACTGACATTAACTTGCATTTATAAAGGTTTATCACATCAAATATTGGTTGTCATAAAGGCGGGTTCTGTCAAGTTCAAAGTTGACGTAATGAATACGCCAATTTACAGATTTATGTCAGTATCAGGTAACGTTATTTCACTTTCTGGGTCAAATAACATAGCATGTTATGTCAACTGATGTTTTGGCGTTGTCATATCTTTTTGACAGTTCTCCTATTCCTAATAGTGTCCATTTCACAAGCAATTCTTAAAAACACATCATAGAACTCATAGGACATTTTAATGTTGGATGTTGCATCACTTTCTAGGGTTAGCAGATTCTGGCACATTTTCAAGCCCAGGTACTTTACAGAAGACACCAAATATACTGTTCACAAAAGCAGCCTTTATAACAATTAATGCCTGTTGGAGCCTTTATAAATGTTTATGTAGGTTTATGTTTGTTGTCAGGAAAGACTAATGGAGGTTGTCATGCAGCTTTATGAAGGCCCTTTGGTAAAGCATTACCTAAAAGGTTAATATATTATGTAATTATGAGAGTAAGACACTGACGTGTCATATACAAGCTTTTGCAGTTTAAGAGGTCAATCCCTGTCCTGGCTTATTACACATTAACCATAAGAACAGCACTGCAAACTGGCTGTTTTTCTTAATTTTTAATACTTTGTAACAGAAGGTGGGAGTGGGTGGCAGGATATGGCCATTTAAGCAGTTAACGCGATACTGCTTTCCTTTTTATCTAATTTAGTATGGAAGAGAGCGGATGGCTGGGGGCTGGAGGTAGAGGAAGTGGGTGTTCGGCATGCTTGGTGTGAAAGTTGGGGACACAAAGAAAGCCAGTTCTTTGCCTCATCGGGCGGAGGTCCAGAGGGGAACTCATGCCACTCATCACTCAACATGTCAGGAGGGGATCCAGTATCCTAAGTAATGAGTGGCGTGCCTACTGGCAGGCTCTACCTCAGCTTGGCTACAGGCATTACACAGTCAATCACAGTGTATCATATGTGGATGCTCAGACAGGGGCTCACACCCAGCAAATAGAGAGGGCCTGGACAACATACAAGGAAACAGTTTGGAGGCTTAGAGGTAACCGGAGAGAAGAGCTACTGAAGAATCACTTGACTGTAATTGAATGGTATGAATGGCTAGCAAAAAAAAAAACGCATCATAACGGGCCTCTAGGACAGCTAATTCATGATCTTGGAAAACTCCATGAATGAGATGCCACATTAAACTCAACCTGACTTTAGTCCTATTCATTTAGCAGGCAAACTGTAAAGACTGTACATGCATTTTTGCACTAATGTTCCTGCAGTTACAATATAGTTAAGGTTGAAGAAATTTAAAATGTGTAAAATTTTATTAATTAATTTGCGCAACAAATTGTCATGTCTTGGTTGTCAAAGTAAATACTACTTTTAAATGTTTAGCAAATAGCTATTACAAAACATTAACTCATATTTGTTTATTATGTAAGAAAAATTCTAACAACTCATTTGTTCTCTTTTGATAAATTGTATTTTATGGTTGAATAAAATTCAAGAATTTGTGTGCCAGCTCACATTTAATGCAAGCAATAGTACTGAGTAAATGAGCAACAGTCTGACAATGTCTATACATTGTTTTTTGTTTCCACTTTAGATTAGGGGCTGCAAACTGTTTTATAAATGCTGACCAATTAATGTATAAATGACTTAACAAAAGGACTTTAGTTTGTAAATGGCTTATATGCATTTTTAGATATTCATAAATACGGAATAGTTTCCACTTTAGATTAGGGGATGCAAAATGTTGCAAATAATTTATATGTAATGAACAGATCATTTATAAAACATGAGTAAGAAAGTCAAGCTGGGCTGTACTTGAAGCTTAAATTGCTCTAGGTCATCAGTAGGAAGAAGCTGGTCCATTTTTTTTGGCTTGGTAGGCAGATGTCAGAGTTTAAATCTGATGTGAACAGTTACTGGACTCCAGTGAAAAGAACGCAGCAGTGGGATGATATAAGTAACCCTTCTGATCACTTGTAAGGGCCTGACTGTAATCAAGCCTTGAGATTACAAGGCACTGGACAAGCACTTAGGTGACCTTCCTAGAGAGAAAGGATCAAATTGTCCAGATGCTGCAGTGGAGAAACCTGCATGACAGGTTTGCAGTGACGGTACACAGTCATCAACAACACCAGGTCTTCATACATACGCAGACAGAGAATAAGGAGGTCTCCAGGGAGGTGTGATAACAGTTCTACATATTATTATATGTGGGCCATTATGAAACCCTGATATCTTGTAAAGAGGACACATTCTAGAGTGTACTGCTCAAAAGCCACCACTGCCATTAATGTATAAACAATGAAGAGCAACTCTTAAATACTTGATTAGTTCATGATTTGTAAATCACAAAGTAGAAATTTATAGATGTTATTTTAAGAGGTTTTTTTTGGCTACAAAACACCTAAACCTAAAAGTCGGTAAATATGCCACGAACCTATGAATTTTTATTACAGTATGTACATAACTGATGGATAACTACTGAATTAAGATAAGAACTTATGTGTCTTATAAAGTGTTGTTAATATATTAATTAATAATTTATAGCTCAATTCATCATCAGTTCATATTTAGTTAATTATGAATTATAAATGTTTTATAAATGAATGTTATTAGTGTTACCAGATTAAATGTGAACACACTGAACCAGTGACTGACACAATCTGATTTTCTGCAGTTATCAGATTATGTATAACCACACTGAACCTGTTACTGACACAATCTGATTTTCTGCAGTCATCAGATTGTGTGAACACGCTGAACCAGTTACTGATACAATCTGATTTTCTGCAGTTATCAGATTATGTATAACCACACTGAACCAGTTACTGACACAATCTGATTTTCTGCAGCTATCAGATTAAGTGTAAACACACTGAACCAGTTACTGACATAATCTGATTTGCTGCAGTTATCAGATTATGTATAACCACACTCAACCAATTACTGACACAATCTGATTTTCTGCAGTTATCAGATTATTAAGTGTGAACACACTGAACCAGTTACTGACACAATCTGATTTTCTGCAGTTATCAGATTGTAAACACACTGAACCAGTTACTGACACAGTCTGATTTTCTGCAGTTATCAGATTATTAAATGTATACACACTGAACCAGTGACTGACACAATCTGATTTTCTGCAGTTATCAGATTATTAAATGTAAACACACTGAACTGGTTACTGACACAAACTGATTTTCTGCAATTATCAGATTATTAAGTGTGAACACACTCACTGTTTTTCAATAAAATTTGGCTAATTGTGCACTGAAGAGAAATATCAAAGCATTGAACTGCAGACAATTCTACCAGTTAACCAAAGATTAGATGCATGAAGGAAAAGTCTGTTACCTTCTGAGCGTCATGTCTCTCTGCTCTCTGAATGGTGGGAGTCTGGAGTGGGTTGAATAGCCTAAAACAGGGTTTCTTAACCACAAGTGAGCCACGACACACCCTCTGGTGGTCCTTGGGCCTATACTGAGGAGGATACAGTGGTCCATAGTGGCCACGGATGGTACTTTGGTTGTAATCTTTTTTTTTTTACCGATTATTATTACAATCATACAACAATGGTGCTTCATCTGGTTTTACCCGCTTGTCCAAAAAACAAAACCTACTGCCCCAAAGTTTCAATTGTCCACTTGGGAGTGAAAACTTTTACCAAATTAGCTGCCATTCTGCCTGATTTCAGGTGTAAAATAAGCCTATGTTCATCTGATCTGTTGATATTTAATGTTCAGTGATACACATGACATGTTGTGGCTCCCAGAAATTGCTGTGTTCAATTTCCCAAAAATATGCAAAACAGTTTTTCTTGTTTTCCTGTGGCCTTTCATGCTTTCTAGGGATAAATAGGTGGACGCTGAGGTGGAAGAGGTTGAGGACCTCTGGCCTAAACCCTTGCTAAAGTGTAAGAGCTGCTAGAGTTGAAAA